TAGCTTTGAAATAAGCTATTTTTAGTGGGGGTTGAAAAAAATGTTATATCAGCTACACCTGTTAGTACTTTAATAGCTGCTTTACCATGACTAATTAGTATTTTCAGTTTGAATTCAATTGTATCCTGCACCCTACATGAAATATCATACAATTAAATAACTGATAGCTTTATGTTTAACTTGTATATTTAAAATCTAATATCTTTATTCTAATATTATATCTTAATATCTCATTATTGGACCCTAAGATTGGTAGTATTGAAGGTGAGAATAGTTCTCTTGGCAAAAAAAAAAAAAAAGTAGCACAACTATGGTACCGGCCATCTATAATGTTCCTCAAGTCTATTGCAATAGGGGTGTATGCTTGAAATGCAATTGTGGGCTAAATGAGTGCTATTATATCACTTTAGGATCACTACCTATGTAATAATTCCTACCCGTAATGGAGGCTTAAGCAACAACTAACAACTTGTCTTATCTAACCCTGTAGTGCTTAGGCTGATGCCTTTGTTGTGTTTAGTAGCCAAGTCCTTGACTTCTATTATACAATATCTACTGAGTTATCTAGAGACCGATAGCTCTTTGAGAATGATAGATATCTGAGAGAGTATAATAGGTTTTCTTAAATAAAGTAACAAACTAATAGGTAAGAAAATATACAGAGGGTAATATGAAGAGCTCTATTCCTTAGGTTCTATCATTTCCTTATATAGTCACTCTTTATACAACCCTAACCTTCATAACTTATGCCTGTGAGTCACATGTAATATATAACTTACAACTGTAAGTTATGTAAAATTCTTTAGTCAACTTATATGAGTTACTGTACAACATTCCTTAAACTAATCAAAACCAAATAAGTCAGTTATGTAACTTGCATCACCTGAGTGAAACCCACGACTTATAATCTAAGTCATGTACAAAAGTCATAATACTATGTGACTTACAACTATGAGTTACTTAAACAATTAACCAATCATAATATAATAATTATATTATAACTATGAGTTGTATAAAACCCCATAATTCTTAAGGTAAGTCAAGTATGAAACATAACATATTTATAACTGAGAGCTCTAAGCTATGTGAAACCTAATCCTTGCTAAGTCCTATTCATAACAACCTAGCTTTTACAGTACTTATTTAGCCTACTGTTGTATTCCAAGCCTGTATTCTTATTACAATAGACTTGAGAAATATTATAGACAGCTAGCTCTATAGTAAAGAATACTACTAGCAAATAAGAAAAAACATAGTTCTGCTTTCTTTAAAACCTTTTAAGAAGTTTAGAATATTATTAAGACCAAATAAGAGGAAAATAGACTAACTAGCAGGAGAGGAGGTATTCAAGTAGTAGTAAAAACCTATATTTAATCTAATTAGTAGGAAAGTAAATAGAATCTATCAGGCAATCTGTTACCCATATGAATGCACAAACCTTTCCTGCATACAGACCTCCTAAAAACTACAAAAATTTCATATCTAACACCTCCCTCCAGCTGTATTATTAGGCCTACATGTTATAATAGTATCCCTAAACTTTTATATACTGTCACTATAAACTGGTAAAAACAAAGCATCTTTCATAATACTAAATATGTCATTGCTATCTTTTTGACTGAAAGCGATTTATAAGATATATGTAACGTGTTCACGCAGGGGCGCTAGTCACGTAGCTGGTACAATAGGAGTGAGCTGACAATCTATCAGAGATCGACGGTTCCTAAGCTCGCTAAGGGAGGCTTCAGTGGTGTAATAGGAAAATAAAGATAACCGTTCAACCGAGTATATTAAAATACTAACTGTCGAAGTCTGCCCCTTTCCTTAGTGGAAAGTGGCGGTCTTTTTAAGGCTCTGTTTGGCGGGAATGGAACTGGTCCATTCCCCCATACAAACGACCGTTTTCTTCCGTTTCAAAATGGTTGGAGTAAATCCAGCGTTTGGTAATGTAGAAAAACAAGCACCGTTCCGTTCCAAAGTGGATCTTGGCAACCAGGTTTGCAACAGTAGCTTGTCCCCCACTTAGGCTAGTTTTGTATTAAAAATTTTTTGTAATGTATAAAGACATGTTAATTAAAAATAATAACCAGATTATTTCCTATACATCATATTTTCCACTGGCACCTCCGAAAACAACTCATACACCTCCAAGATGGCATCTCACCCCAATATGAGCACAATTCATACAGCCATAATTCAAAGATGGATTCATATCACAATTACCTCTGCTCTCTATTCTCATCTATTCCTCTCTAAAGAACCTGTTCATACATCTATTCGAACTGGAATGATTTATACTGCCGAAATCCTGCAAGCACATCCTCGTCATGCTCTAGAAGTTATTCGTATGCTAATTACAACATTGTTAGACCTTTGAGACTGGGTAATTGAGAGGAAATTACTGGTGTGTATACATTAAGTAGTTGTGGAAGAACAACTTGTATTGTTTTTATGGATTATTGGACATGGAGCTACAAATAGGGAAGCTCAGGAACACTTTCAGCATAGTGGAGAAACAATTTCACGGTTAGTATTAATTGCACTATAATATTTATATATGAAATGTTTATTATTCTAATTATTTTACAGCTATTTTCATCAAGTTCTAAAGGCTCTCCTGCCTCTGTATGAAGCATTTGTACATCTTCCACCAAACAATATTCCTGCAAAAATACAGAAAAATTGGGGAAAGATGTCCAATTTTAAGGATGTTCGTGGAGCAATTGATGGGATACACATTTTGGCCCATGTCCCACGAAACCAGCAGGGTCCCTATCGTAACCGGAAAGGTACCCTCTCGCAAAATATTCTTGCTGGATGCAGCTTGGATATGTACTTTTTCTATGTATGTTCTGGCTGGGAGGGTTCAGTCAATGATGCTAGAGTATTAGAAAATACTGTGATTCATTGATTTCCAAGACATGAAAATACAGTTTATCTTACAGATACAGGATATGGTCTTTGTCCTGAGTTTTTAACACCATACTGTACCGTACGATATCATCTGCGGGAGCAAGCACAAGCTCATTTACGTCCATGAACTAAGGAAGAGCTTTTCAACCTACGTCATGCTCAGTTACAAAATGTTATTGAACGTATCTTTGGAGTTTTATGGAAGAGGTTTCAAATTCTCAATATAGCTCCAGAGTTTGACCTTACCACACAAGCTCAACTTATATTGGTAGTTTGTGCATTACATAACTTTATTCGACACCAGGCAAATGGAGAGGAGGATCAATTTTACCAGGATGCTGATTCATCCTTGGAAAACATCAATCACTCTGGGGAATCAAATCCAAGTTATGAGGAGGAGGATGAAGGAAATGTTAGAGATGCACAAGATATGGGAGAGATGAAACAAGATCGAGACAAACGTGCAACACAAATGTGGCTTGATTATATACAATACCAAAACCAGTTACAGTAGACTAACTGCTGTAGAATTCCTAGGCCTTGTAACGTACTATTTGACCTCTTAACCAAAGCTCCTGATCTTCACCTTCCTCTAATGCTAAAAACACTTCTGCCTTAACTGGGTTCTCAAAAAGCTCATATCCAGTAACAATATCTTGTGTTGACTACCCTGGTCTTCCTTTATACTTTTGTTGAAGCTTTGATACAGCTTGCTGAACAACTGATTGGGACGCTGCAATAGTAATTAGTGTAGTAGCTATCCCTTCAACAGCAGTAATCAGCCGTTCAGAAACCCTCCTTGGAGGTTGTCGAATATGTCCCAGCGGTGCTAGCCTTCTCCGCTTATGTTGATGAGGACTTGTATCGGGGCTGGTCTGCTCTGGATCAGCCTGAGTTGCTAGATCTGACCTAAGGGGCGAAGGAATCGTGATTTGTTGTAATTTTGTATGGCCAGGATAGATTGCATGACCACTTGTTGCTTGAACTCCCTCCATGATTTCCGCCAACTCAATTGCATTTGCAAGTGGTTTGTCACGAAACTCTTGTATTCCAGGCTGTTTTTTTATTTCTTCCTCCCATACTTCCCCTGGTGCAGTAACCGTACCAGTCTTAAGATCAACCCCAAAACGACTCAAATCTTTCAACCTGGTCCACATCTTCCATTTTTTCTTCAAGGTCTCCAATTTGCCTTGACATCTCTCACCTGTT